TCATCTATAGAAAGAAAGAGCTTTTAGATTTTGACTCTTGTGTTTTCTGTACACATGCAGTGGTGGGATTCAGCCAGTTTACACCAGTTCAGCAGAACCGGTAGCTAATTTTTTGTTGCCCAGGCCCAGAATGGACTTCCGGAAGCAGCATCTACACAGAGAATTGGTTGTTCACATATTTGAATCCCACCACTGTACACATGTGATCCTGAATTTTCTGATCGTAGCAGTCAGACCCTGTCCTGATCTTCTGATTACTTAGAACAGAACAGGATAAGAGAGTTTGAAGGGACCTTGGAGGTCTTCTAGTCCAACCCCATGCTCAGGCAGGAAACCCTATACATCATTTCAGACAAATGGTTGTCCAATCTCTGCTTAAACACTTTCAAAGTTGGAGCATTCACCACATGTGGAAACAAGTTGTTCCACTGGTTAATTGTTCTAACTGTCAGGAAGTTTCTCCTTAGTTCTAGGTTGCTTCTCTCAATAATAATAATAATAATGATGATGATGATGATAATGATGATGTTGGAAGGGACCTTGGAGATCATCTAGTCCAACCCCCTGCTCAAGCAGGAAATCCTATACCATTTCACAGTGCTTTTTTTTTTAAAGGTGCCGGAACTCACACACGTCATACAACCCGCCTTGCCTACCCTACAAGGTTCCATCCAAAAAAGGTGCCGGAACTCCGTTCTGGGCATTCTATGAGAAAAAAAGCCCTGCCATTTCGGACAAATGGCTGTCCAGTCTCTTCTTAAAAACTTCCAGTGTTGGAGCATTCACTGCTTCTGGAAGCAGGTTGTTCCACTGGTTAATTGTTCTCACTGTCAGGAAATTTCTCCTTAGTTCTAGGTTGCTTCTCTCCTTGATTAGTTTCCATCTGTTGCTTCTTGTCCTGCCTTCAGGTGCTTTGGAGAATAGCTTGACTCCCTCTTTTTTGTGGCAACCCTGAGATATTGGAAGACTGCTCTCATGTCACCCCTAATCCTTCTTTTCATTAAACTAGACCAGTGGTTCTCAACCTTTCTAATGCCGTGACCCCATAATACAGTTCCCCATGTTGTGGTGACCCCCAAGTGGGTGTGGCCACCAATAAGAGGGAGTAGGACAGCTAGGGAAAAGGGAAAAAATGGCGGACAGCGTGGTTTGGCGACTCCCGTGAAATGGTCGTTCGACCCCAAATGGGGTCCCGACCCACAGGTTGAGAACCACTGAACTAGACATACCCAATTCCAGCAACCATTCTTTATATGTTTTAACCTGCAGTCCCCTAATCATCTTTGTTGCTCTTCTCTGTACTCTTTCTAGAGTCTGAACATCTTTTTTACAACGTAGTGACCAAAACTGGATGCAGTATTTCAAGTGCAGCCTAGAACTGTGTTGGCTTTTTTGGCAGCTGCAGTACACTTCTGGCTCATATTTGAGTGATTGTCCACTAGGACTCCGAGATCCCTCTCACAGTTACTACTATTAAGCGAGGCACCACCTATACTGTACTTGTACATTTGGTTTATCTTGCCTAAATGTAGAACCTTACTTTTTTCACCATTGAATTTCATTTTGTTACGTAGTGCCCAATGTTCAAGTCAAGATCCTTTTGTATCTTAAGCCTATCTTCTGGAGGGTTGACTATTCCTGACAGCTTGGTGTTGTCTGCAAATTTAATGAATCCCCCATCTATCCCCTCATCCAAATCATTGAGGAAGATGTTGAAGAGTACTGGGCATAAAACAGAGCCTTGGGATACCTCACTGCATACTTCCCTCCATGTAGATGCAGTTCCATTGAGGACTACACTTTGAGTGTGGTTGGTCAGCCAGTTACGAATCCATCTGATGGTGAGGCTGTCTAACTCACATTTTTCTATCTTATCAAATAGTAGGTTGTGGTCTACTTTATGAAATACCTTATTGAAGTTCAAGTAAATTATATCCACAGCATTCCTCTGGTCCCTTAATTTTGTCACTTTGTCAAAGAATGCAATAAGATTTGTCTGGCATGATCTATTTTTGACAAACCCATGTTGGCTTTTGGTTATGACTTTGTTTATCTCTAGGTGTTTGCTGATTCCTTGCTTGTTCCAGAATCTTCCCAGGTATTGAAATCAGGCTGATAGGTCTATAGTTTCTTGGATCTATTTTTTTCCCTTTTTTGAAGGTGGGAATTACATCAGTTCTTTTCCAGTCCTTTGGTAGTTCCCTGGTCCTCTAGGATCTTTGATAGGAGCAAAACCTCTTAGATTTGGATGGTGCGTGTGGGTGACAGTTTCATTTGAGTTGTTTCTGGTAAGAAAAATGTGCAAGGTACTTCAGAAGCAATAAAGGAATTTATTTTTAAGAGAGAGAGAGTTTTGATGGCCTTAAGAATAAGTAAGTCATGGAAATAATACAGCCATGAATAAAAGAGTGATGGTAAAAGATGTTTCTAGATCCAGTCTCATGAATATATTAACATTATGCACAAAAGTGTATTAGCATTATATATATAATGCAGGCCTTAAAGAGTTGTTAGAACTACTAAACGTACTGGACACTAGAAAGACTAATGGATAAGCATTATTAGAACCAATTAATGCAATCACTACAAAATGTATGTGTTAAGTCCTTCGCGAAATGGCAATGACACGAGAAGCAGTTGTAGTTCTCAGGAACCTCTTTATTTCTGTTCAGCATACTGGTTACAAGACGCCGACAACACCCAAATCTCCCTGCCCCTTTTATAGGCGATTCCCGGGCCAAACTGCAACATTTGGCGCGTTTGCACTCGCGCATGCGCGCGAGTGCTGGCGACAGCCAGTCTGGTCCCGGGCAGCTTGCACCTGCACGGGACCGTTGCAATGCCCCGAGCCTGCTTTCACAGGCTCAGGACATAACAGTATGTTACAGTACCTTTGAAGTTACTGGGGAAAGCCCAACTCATGTTAATAATAAATACTGGGCTTAGAATTTCTAGAAAAAGAAATTTGAACAATATTTCTATTTTTTGAAGTGTAGATGTATTGCAGAACACATGCAACTATTTTCCATTTTGTATTTGTGTGTCATTTGTCTCTTTCTTTCTTTCTTTCTTTCTTTCTTTCTTTCTTTCTTTCTTTCTTTCTTTCTTTCTTTCTTTCTTTCGTAGAATAACAAGGAAGATCACATGGAGAATAACAAAATACCAGCAGGGAGCTTTAGCAAATGGCAGGGTGTGTGTGGGGGGGGGGGTAAGAGTACCGTATATCAACTCTTCCATAATGGAAATGTAGGTCCCTGTTTTGGGCTAAAAAAAAACCTGATGACATGGTATGGGGATTTTGTAAGAAAATATTGGAGCAGCTGCTTTGCCTGCATCCTGCAAGGCAAGGACAAAATATTGAGAGACCAAATGGGAATTGGAGCCAATGATGGGGAAATCTGCTAAAAGGAATTTCTGATCTTGTAATGGTGCTGGATTTGAAGAGCAGAAGGATTCAGGGCTCTAGAGGGCAATCCAACTGTGTTTGTTTGTTTGTTTCCCTTATGTCTCAAAAATTCTTCTGCTCTCCAAAGATACCTTTGTGAGATCAGGAGCCATACTAATCAATTTTAATTTTTTTAATTAACATTTTCACAACAGGGTTATAAATTTTCTGAATCTGTTATAAAAGAGATCACCTAAATAGAAACTGAGGTGGTCATGCTTACCTTGCAATCTAGATTTAAGTTTAGTCTTATGTTAAAATGGTGAAGGAATCCATCACCTGGGAGTACTGATTTAAAAGTAGCATTCATTTTCATTCCAGAAGAGAAGAAGTTTTTAAAGAGGATTCTTTTATCCTCTTCCACCAGGGAAAGAAAAACATTAGGAAAAATGAAGAAATTCAAGTGGAAGTTTTTAAGAAGAGACTGGACAGCTATTTTTTTGAAATGGTATAGGGCAGTGGTGGTGAACCTATGCCACGTATGCCAGAGGTGGCACTCAGAGCCCTCTCTGTGGGCAAGCACGCTATGCCCCGGAGATGGCAACTGTCCCTCTTCATCCAGCCGCCCGCTAACTGGCCGAGGTCCTGCATGGCCAGATGCCTCCCAGCACCCATGCACTCTCTGGCCTCTGTGTGCAGCGGCTGGTGGTGTCAGGCAGCGGCCGCCCCGGCCCCTGCCTCACCTTGCCCTGTGACAATGGCACCCCCGCCCTGCCTCGCCTTGCCTCGCCTCACCCAGCAGGACGAGCCTCCTACCCACTGCCCCACCTGCCAGAGACCCCCTGGATCTCCCCAACCCTGCCCGGCCCCCACAGGCATCCCTCCCCATGAGCAACATCAAGGTGATCACGCCCACCTTGGCCACACCCACCCAGTCTGCCATGACCACCACAGCCACGCCCACCTGGCACCTGGTGATAAATAAGTGGGTTTTGGGTTGTAGTTTGGGCACTCGGTCTCTAAAAGGTTCGCCATCACTGGTATAAGGTTTCCTGCCTGAGCAGGGGGTTGGACTAGATGACCTCCAAGGTCCCTTCCAACATTATTATTATTATTATTATTATATGCTTCTTCCAAGAAGTTGCCATTGCTACACTAAGAATATGATTAAAACAAAAAAGGTGGTTCAGAATTCTAATTTTTACTCATATGCAAGTCATTTGGCTAAAGCTCACATGATGAAATGAACAATATTTTCTTAATGTAACATTGCTTGTTTCCTCAGTTCCTTTGCTTAAAACCGAATAATGAAGGAAAAAGTACCCATATTTTGTCCTGTGTACTGGTAATGTGTGAGCTCAACGCACTCAGCCATGAAATCCTTTGAAGATACTCTCAGCTTAAGTTTATCTACACTGCAGGCTTAAATTGGAGGCTGGCTTTCCTTCAAGAGGCACAGTGATTATAATTCTGAGAGGATGTTATAGATATAATCTCATCTACAATACAGTAAGAAAGAACTCAAGTAACCACAGAACGCTTCAATTACCAGAAAGCCATGGAAACTAAAATGGTTGAAAGGTAGATTAATTGCCTAGCCACAGAAATCCAATGGTTACATTTTATACAGATAGTCATAATTTAATACCTGCCTCATTTAGTGACTGTTCACAGTGATGACTGGAATAGCAATAGTAATAGCACTTGGACTTACAGTATATACTGCTTCACAATGCTTTACAGAAATTTCTAAGCGATTCACAGAGTCAGCCTATTGCCCCCAACAATCTGGGTCCGATCTTAGAAGAATGAAAGGTGAATCAACCTTGAGTCAGTAAAGATCGAACTCCTGGCAGTCAGCAGAATTAGCCTGCAATACTGCATTCTAACCACTAAGCCACCACAGCTCCTTGAAAACGTAACTTTACTACTAATATTCACATTTATAATCTTAACAAGTCTATAAAACAAAGTAAGTAAAATCATAAGCACAGAAGCAGTTTCACTTAGCAACCATTTTGCTAATAACACTTTTGCGGTCCTAATTATAGTCACTAAATGAGGACTGTACAGGAGGACTGCTATAGTCAGATCAGGAAGTACGTAGATAGTCAGCAGATCAAATTCAGCATGTAAGACCAACGTCCCCAGGAATGTCTCTTAATTTTTCTTGACGTGCGAGCACTTGAGCACTAGAAAGATGGGGAATGAAGATTCAGTTTAAAACAAGTTATATATGCCTTATGTCTAGGACAGTGGTTCTCAACCTGTGGGTCGGGACCCCATTTGGGGTCGAACGACCATTTCACGGGGGTCGCCAAACAACGCAGTCCGCCATTTTTTTCCCCTTTTCCTTAGCTGTGCTACTCCCTTTTATTCTATTGGCTTTTGAAAGCCAATAGAATAGACTCTCTTGAATAGAGTCTAATTCTATTGGCTTTCAAAAGCCAGTAGGAATTGTCCAGGCTGTCTCTACCCTGCTGAGCCCGCCAAAAGTCCCATTCTGCAAACGGTGCTGCACCAGTTGAGTAGTCCTCGACTTACGACCGATTGGGGGTCACGGCATTAAAAAGGTTGAGAACCACTGGTCTAGGACATCCTTTTCATCTTGTCTCCCTCCTCCCCTTTCTTTTTTGAACTGGAAAGACTTTGTAGAGAAGCTGTTGTTTCCCTGATTTTTTTCTAGACATTTTCTTTTTTTTTCAATATTTATGTTTCATCTATTTTTTTCTGTCCCATCTTGGGAAACATACTACCATCTGCTTCCTTTAGATTCCTGTTTATCTCCCACAGGGCAATAGGGATAACCTACAGTCTGCCAAGCCCACAGTCAGATTGGGTATCACGTTCTTAACAGTTTGCATTGCCAGCTATTATATCAGAGGCTTCAGAGAAAAGCAGTAGGTTTACCACACTAGACAAAAGCAAATATTTCAGCAAATACCCAGCCAGGCAAGGGAGAGGCTTCTAGTGTGGAATTAGCCTTGAGTCTTTGAGTAGCTGCAAGGGGTCCAGAACTTATTCTACCCTCCCTTAAGCCCCATAGAGCCTTATTTATCTGTTTCCGGACTAAAGATGGCAATATGGGAAGATTCTTGGGTAATTGTGACAATATAATAAAGTAGTGAGCCTGAGTTTTACTTGTGTCTGACATAGATAGATAGATAGATAGATAGATAGATAGATAGATAGATAGATAGATAGATAGATAGATAGATGAGGCTGAGGAGATCTGACAAAGAGCAACAGGAAGCAATTGAACATAGCAATAGCAATACTACTTAGACTTATATACCACCACTTATATTTACAACACTCTCAGGGCAGTTTACAATGTTCGTGTATCCCCTTCCCCCCCCCAACAAACTGGGTCCTTATTTTACTGACCTCAGAAGGCTGGAAGGCTGAGTCAACCTTGAACTCCTGGCTATGGGCAGAGTTAGACTGCAATACTGCATTCTAACCACTGTGCCAACAGGACACAACATATTTATGAAGTACACAATGAAATAAACAGACAGAATGCTATTACATTTTGTACAAAGTTAATTAATTGCTGGTCTTTAACATACTGCAAAGCATATATGTCTTCAGTATCTTTTGTGGAGGTTAAAAGTGTGTTATGTTAAAAAGAACATGAAATAATGATATGATTGGTGTTTTTACTATTTTTTTACTGGTATACCTGGCCTACACATTTTCAAAGCTGTATCATAACATGAATCCTTACACATAGCAGCTAATCAAAACCACATAATTGACTGGTTTGTATAAAGCAATAAAATTAATATTGAGCAGAATTAAATTCAGCCTCTTGGTTCGGCTGACCATAACAGTCTTAGTTTCTAATGAGGCCCCTTGATAAAATAAATTACCCGCCTCTGCTCTTGTCTTCCAAAGTGAGATGGCCTTTTCCTGATAACTGTTCATCCCAGGTAGTATAGATGCTAAGACGTTCACTGAAGATCTTAAAGGGTTAGAAAGCTTCTATGAACAAGAAAAGCAAAGACAGAACATTAGTCATGGTAACAAGAGATAGCATTATCGTTATTCTAAATGTATGTGTCTCCCAGCTTTTAACAAGTCTGGACAGTTATCTATCCTTGGTATATAATTCTGAACACCAGGAGTTTGGATCAGCTGTTCACTGCTTTTCATTCCATATCAGTTTTCAAAACATATGCTGGACTAGAACTACCAGACTGGAGCTGTAAAAAATTCAGATAACCCATAGCTCTCTATGCTGCCATTTCTTGGACATCCCAGGGTTTAGCCACCTTATGACAGACTAGACAAGTGTTGGTCTGCCTCAGAGCATACATTTACACAGAGAAAGCTTGAAGGATCAGAGTTTCATATGCTTCTGCTTCCACCTGTTTCTGTACGTTTATTTACTTAACTCTCTAGTTCAGGGGTAGGCAACCTTGGCTCTTTTATGACTGATGGACTTCAACTCCCAGAATTCCTGAGCCAGCATGGCTGGCTCAGGAATTCTGGGAGTTGAAGTCCATCAGTCATAAAAGAGCCAAGGTTGCCTACCCCTGCTCTAGTTCCTGAATGATATGGAAAGCCTCCACGGAGAGGTGGATGCCTCCTAACATGAAATGGCACCGGGGACAGAACTAATATGCTAGTCCTATTTTCCCTGATTGCAGGGAATCATTTGCTGTTTTTGCACCACTCATAGAAAAAACCTATCTCCATATGTTATCACAGGAGCTCTTTCATTGATTTGCATTCTATGCAAGTTTGGTCCCGGCTTCCAGAGTGGTACTGCTTGTTTAATGTGCTTCTGTAACAATTGAGCAAACTGTGAAGTTAAAAGACTAAAAAAAAAAAAAAAAATAGAGTGAATATAACAACAGAATTGCAGAGCCACACTCTGCATGATTAATGTAAAGATTATTGCAGCAATATATGTAAAACAATTTCAACACCACAAGGTTATTTCAAATGATATTACAAATCCTCAGTGACAGGCGCAGCACATTCCTGGATCTGGGTCTCCCCACTGTCCTTCCAGTGTCCGCTAAATCAGCAAGCTGATCAGATGGCAAGCAAGGAGAAGAAAGAGGCTTTGGGCCTTCAAAGCACAAATGTTGGGCCAACCTATACTTTGAAAAGGTACCACATTTTATTTTCCTTCTAGGAGCCTAATACTCAGCAGAGGCTGTAGAAACTGTGGGGATTTCTTTCCTTGAATACTTGGACCCAAATGTAGCATCTCTATGCTGCAATGTCTCCCTGAGATATTGGCCAAGCCCTTATCTTTGCCATTTGGATTTGAGGACTTTTAGTGTATGGTCATATAAATATGTATGCGCGTATATATTTATTAATTCATTCTTCTATCCACACATGTATGTTGCTTGCCATCCATGGGCCCTACCATTGACCATCCCATGCTGGATTCTGACAGTCCAGATTTCATTTTCTTGGCCTGTTGTATACTTTGTTTGCGTGCGAATGATGAAGACACATGGCGATGCTGAATAAACACTTTATTCTCCTTCTACAACAACCAAGCAAAAGCAAAAGGCACACAGGCCTTTTTATATGGCCAGAAGCCCGGACAGTGTCAACCAATAGGAACAGAGCATTTTCGCACCTTGCGCATGCACGCAAGGCTGGCACCACTCTGTCTGGTTCCGAGCAGCTTTTGGAATGCCCAGGACCAATGCAACATCCCGAGCCTGCTTTTGCAGGCTCAGGACACAACATGGCCCAAAGAAGTCAAAACACGATCAAAGATGGTTCATTCAAATAATTCAAAGAATTTTGAAGAAGAAAAGTTTGATTGAGCTGAGTTGAGAAGGGTTTTATTTTTTAGTCAGTTCACCCGAGATTTTTTTTTGAAGGATTTCAAACTCATGTGTGAGTTTGCTCACTCTCCAGCTCGCGCACACACACTTAATAAAAACTCCATCTTGAACAGACATTTTTCTGTACTCCAAAGCTATGTTCTGAAATCCAAACCTATGTTGAAAAAAAAAACCCAGATTAATCTATGGGTACAGGTTTGAAATTCTATTCTATAGCAAAAAGATATGGACATTACATAGTACAAAGTTTCTGCCTTAGTTTGCATTCCATGTCAATTCTAGCAGACTCATTCTATTCTTTATGCAAACTAACTATGCCTTGGCTGTCTCACATGAGTGAAACGCACACATGTACATCTTTGTACTGCATATGAAAAATGAAACCAGCATTAGGTAGGTCCTAGCTGTCTTTGTTTTATAAGGCTATAATATTGAAGTTGCTCTATGAGCATATGAATTGGATTGAGCTGGATGGGGAGTTCTTTTTGTGGCCAGTGGACTTGAGAGCTTTTTGAAGGACTGCATCGGATTCTTTCAGAATGGTGAATATCTTTATATATGAGTTTTCTCACCCTCCAGCCCCTGCACACAAATTTAATCTTGGATGCACCTCTTCTGTATTCTCTTTTACCTCCTTTCCTAGCTCCTCTTTATCTACTGTGTTTAATGGACAGCTTTACCCTTGAGAGCTGTACAAACCATCTGAGTCATAGTTCTCCAAATTCTTGCACTCTTTTTGCAGATGCATTCTGCTTTAGTCTACACCTCATGGCACACCTCCAGGAATGATCCTTCTGATCTACTAGACTAGAGACTGAACTGAGGGTTGAGCATCAGGATTAAACATGAGAATCAACCTTATGTTCCAGGTGCAGTTTCTGTGGCAGTGGCATCTACTCCTGTGGCCTTCAGAATAAGATAGGATCACTCCCATCTGTTCTGCCCTGAGCATCTTTCTGGAAAAGTGGCATACATTCTACGTTCACACCAGTAATGGGCCATTTGATGCAACTCATTCAATTGGCTATTACTCAGAGATGTCGGCTTCTTTTCACACCTCTTCAAATGCTCAGAACTTTTCCTTCCTGATGAAAAAAGATTGAATTATAGCAAGGTACATAGTTGGCATATGAGAGAAGGCTTCATTTGACCTAAATAGCATCCTATGGAAGGTGCCCCCAGAATAGGCCAAGTCAGGACAAAACATTAAACCTGATTTGATTCCATATAGACGAAGATGAAAATAGATAGAGTCATGATTATTATTCTCTTGTATTTATTAATTTTCTCTAATCAGCTCCAGAGCAATCAGCTGTTCTGTATACATATGTATTATGCAATGGACAACTTTTTTTCTGACATGGATCACATTTCATCTAATGGGGGGGGGATGCATTCCAGCTGGTGGTGGGTACAGCCTAAACAATGGATAGAACCAGAGCTTTTTTTCTCATAGAACGCCCAGAATGGAGTTCCCGCACCTTTTTTGGATGGAACCTTGTAGGGTAGGCAAGGCGGGTTGTATGACATGTGTGAGTTCCAGCACCTTTTTTTTTTTTTTAGAAAAAAAAGCACTGGGTAGAACCATTCCTTTCTCTTCCTTCTCCTATCTCCTCTTTATCTTTGTTCAAAATACCCCTCCCTGCCTCCATCTCTCCTTGGAGAACTCAAACATTGTCCTTGCCAGACATAAGAAATCAGGCTAACCTCTCCTGAAATTAAGCTGAATGCATTCATCAGTGGAACGCTTCCGAAAGTTATGGGCGCTCCAACACTTTTTAAGAAGAGCTTGGACAACCATTTATCTGAAATGATATAGGGTTTCTTGTCTGAGTAGAGGGTTGGATTAGAAGACCCCCCCCCAAGGTCCCTTCCAACTCTGTTATTCTGTTACACATTGATATGCAGATGACTTAATGAGGTTGTGCCCCACTCTGTCTTCAACCTCCAAAAGTGCATTAAATTATACTGCAGGACAGCATTTTTTCAACTTTGGCAACTTGAAGATGGTGGACTTCAACTCCCAAAATTCCCCAGCCAGAGTTCCCCTAGGTCAGGGGTAGGCAACCTTGGCTCTTTTATGACTCGTGGACTTCAACTCCCAGAATTCCTGAGCCAGCTCTGGCTCAGGAATTCTGGGAGTTGAAGTCCACGAGTCATAAAAGAGCCAAGGTTGCCTACCCCTGACCTAGGTTGAGAAATACTGCCATCAGGGTAAGGCAAATTCTGGCAACCAGGAGGAACTGGGTTTGAGTGGCTGAGAGCTACAGTCAGCTACTTAAGAAAGCTGAGGGAATTGGAAGGTGAACGAGCTTTTCTTTGTTATGTTACCATCAGCCTATGTAAAGATATACATTATAATCCCTTTTGATGGATGACCACCTCAAAACAGAGAGGTGATGTCACCAGTTTTCAGGAATTGTGGTCACAGAAGCTTCCAGCAACTAGGGGGAAAAAAGGCTTGGTGATGACTTCATCAACCTAATGACTTCAGAGTTTAGTATCCCCATAATAAGATTTGTCTTGTGTCTAAAAAAATAAATAAATTATTGCCATCTTTATCATGATTTCTTGAGTCAGGAACTTTGGATTCTTAACATCACCACAGTTCTCACTTCATAAGCATAATAGAAACTTTTTATTTTGGGGTCTTTTGGTCACAAATAAAATTGATAGAAGCTTTTTAAAAGTCTGTCTTAGGGCTTATTTATACTGCTGAGATGCATACATCATCAGAAGAGGCCAGCAACCATTTTTAGAGGATATGAAAAGATTATGTCTCTCTTTACACACTCTCCACCTATTGTAAATATGATTCATTGTGACATTTTTCTACATTTTTTTAAAGTATCATTCTCTCCCCTTAAGTCATGTTGACCATCCCCATCCATTTTGGCTGGCAAACTATTTCGTTACAGACTAACCCTTGCAATTCATTGATTAGAGGCAGGTACATCCTCAAAACCGAGACAATTGTTTCTATAGTCTTTAATGCCTAAGTTATTTTTACCAGGAATTATATATTGGCACAATGGTTGCAGCACTGGCCATGTAAGTGGAAGGTTTCTGATTTGAAAACTGGGGGAGGAGAAAGATGTTTAAGGCTGCTTAAAAATCTTCCTGACATACATATATTTCATGCTTTAACTCTGAAAACATATATTC